ACGACCAGCCCATTTCCCCCTTAACACCTACATTTGGTGTTTTTCCATGTGCTCCCAGTGCCAATCTGCATACGCTCCTTTATCGAATTTTGAATCTTGATTGAACCTCTGATTTGATGCACAGTACCCCATTGTCAAAAGACAGTCCTGGTACCGTCACTCCTTTTCATATGCCTCTAACCACTTCATATCTATTATAGTTCAATAGTGCCTTGAGCTTCAGAAACTGATACCGCTCGCGATGATGATTGCCTTTATCGGACAGCACTATAGACCGATACGCGGGCTTGACGTCATGGAGCTGCGGCGGCGCTGCGATCGAGCCGGAGCCGGGTGGTGTGGACAGAAAGGCGTGCGTTTTCCATGGGCGACATAGCATTTCAGCACGCCGAAAAGCTGCGTAGCCGTTAACTGCACCGAAAGGTACAGCAAACGTAGCGGAGAAAGCAGGCACCTAGCCAAAGGGGAGGCCCATGGGGCCCGGGCCCCCTCCGAAATCTTCCATTTTGCTGGGACCTCCTCTTCCCCCTCCCCCTCATACAGCATTTTGTCATGGGCGGGCCCCTCCCAAAACAAAATTCTGGCTACGTGCCTGGGAGTGAGTTTCCACAAGTTCCTAGCGGACTGAAAGGCGCAAAAGGTGGATAACTTCTGTGGATCGAAAAGAATGGTTGCCTTGAGAGGACGACTGTTTGAGCAGGAAGCACTTTCTTGAAAGCAAGTGTGGCATCCATCTCAATCTCCGTCCCGAGGCCTGCTTATGTGCAGGGAAAAAGTCGTCTGAGACCACCCAGACTTCGCTCCCACGGTGTTCGCGCACAAAGCACCGCCCAAGCGCTTGTCGTTGTCTCGCTACCAGTGTTGGCAGCAACACGTTACAAGTAACGGCGTTGCCGGTGACGCGTTGCTTTTTTCTGTAACGCAGTAACGTACTAGTTACTTTTTGAAGACAGTAACGGCCGGAACGTGCTTACATTACTTATTTCGAATAACGGGTAACGTAGTTATGGTACTTGTTGCACCTTCTTCCCGAGACCTGAAAGGAGTAATTTTTCTTTCGTGGTTTTCTACTTTGTTCTCTCTTCAGCCCAGACGCAGCCGACGCTACGAGCTGATGCGAGCAATCGAAAGCGTCCAAAGCGCGCCGTCTTGATGTTAGTCGTGTTCTCTCATCGCTGAACAAAAAACCAACAGAAAAGGCCCAATGACTCTTTTCACGCTGTTTGATTGGTCTCATTAGCTCGTAGCTTCGGCTGCGCCTTAACTGAAGCTGAAGTCATTAATTCTTTCACTACATTCCACTCACCTGGAAACGTTTGCTGTTTTTTTTCCCATGCAAAAAGTCCCACTTCAGAAAAACCCCAACGCAGACGCCCTTTGTCCCAATGTGGAAAAAGGCTGCCGTAAAGAAAAAAAAAAAAAATGAACTGTTTTTGTCAATTTATAAATAAAAAGTAACGTGCGTTAGTTTTTATCGGTAACGGTAACGCTTCCCATTTATTTTGAGGTAACATAGGTTTGTGACGCGTTCCTTTTATTTGCAAGTAAAGAGTAACGTATTTCGTTACTTTTTCTCGGTAACGCCTCCAATACTCGCTACGCCCGTGCTACCAAGCAGAAGGAGACCGGCGGCTGAACGGAAAAATCGTTACCGCTTGTCGCGCCGTGTGGTTATGAGGGTGAAAAAAATATCATACCCTGACTTTAAAAGCACTGTGTGGATTTAATTAATTAATAAATAATTACAATTCGGCAGACCCACAGTTTGCCGATCCACTGTGCTCATCCCGCCGGCAGCGCGGAAAGTGGCTCAAAGTGATTGCAGGCCTCGAGTGGCCTGTACGCCTGCACCTTGTCGACCGTGAACTGGCTTGGCGAAAAAAAACTTAATAAACGACGACGTGAGCCATCGACGTAGGTGGCAGCAACTTGATATCAGAACTCAAGCAGTCCTTGTTTACGGCGTACGGATCGTCTAAGGCAAAGCCGTCCACGCACAGTTTGTCTCGATAACCCTGCCGTTCCGGCTCGGGTAGCGAGCTGAAACAGTCGGGCATAACATGCGGCATACGTTGACAAGAAATACCACGCACAAATAAAGCTAGAAGCGTCTCTACAACGTGAACAACGCGCGCGCGCCACACAACGCAATGGCGAAAACACGGAGAGCCGGCCCGCTTCAGCCCACATAGCTTCTGCGCATGCGCGGCCTTCCGGCAGTGTTGGTAAACAGAGCCGCGCTGCGTGTCGGTCTATACACGAACTCATCTCTGTTACGTCACGCCGCGGTGGTGGCGCGTCGGATGCACTTCCGCTCCGGGGCTGTGAGCGGAAGTGCCCGTGTGAGACCTGTATTCCTGCGTTGTTTTGAAAGGAACCAGACAAAAACCTGCCTTCTCGACAAAATACTGCGACTGGGGCTGTACCAAAAGTGCCGAGAAAGATTTGAAGATCAATTTTCATGCGCTCGGTTCGTCCGAGAACGTGGATATGTGCCGTGAAAAGGGAAAACCAGACGCCGTCGGACTACGATTGCTTGGGCGGGAAGCATTTTGGGTTGAATTCACGGATACTTCTGGTCATCAAATTTATATGTTTTGTTCCAAAATGAACGCCGGAAAACCATCAAGTTGTACGGACCACCTGCGGACTACGTTCAGTGCGTCTTCAAGTTCGAACGGCCGCCTGATCGTTCGAACTGTCGTCTGCTCTTTCAAACGTTTCTGCTTGTTGTCTGCTCTTTTAGAGGACACCGGCTCGTAGACCAAACGTGGGCCCGGTACTTGCGATAAGAAGTAAGTGCAGGCCTCAAAAGGCTTAAATTTGAACGTTGGTAAGCAGGCTGGACGTAAACAGTAGATACAAGGAGATGTTGATCATTGTTATCATGCAGTGGCCATCACCAACTTGTTATGACTGATTCTTTTCGTTAGATTCTGCTTGTGATTTTCAGTATCGACGTTGACATCTCAGCTACGGTTCACACATTTGCAGTCCGAGCGACGTCGCTACTGAAAATTGCGAGCGAAATCTGATCATGTGAATCAGGCTTTAGCGTACATTCTGCGGCGTCCACGCGGAATGAATGGCCGCATGTCAGATGATTCACGCGAAGTTTTGCGGTGTAACGAGCTTCGGTAATTTCGCTGACGCCGCTCAAGTAGTCAGACATCGTTAGGAGGACGTAGAATCAACAATTCCAACGCCAAAAAGATCGCGGGGACTCATACCGACGCCGAAAACATCGCATATCAATAGTTTGTTTATGGGCGACGGCGAGCTTCTTGCCCACACCCCCATCGCGCATGCGCGGCGCCGGTGGCGTCCGCTAGGGGCGCTCCGGGCGCTCCGGTTTGTTTGTAAACATGAGTTGGTGTATAACAGGCCTTTCGGCAAGCGCCACAATTCAGCCTACTATGAGCACGACTTGAGCTGCTTGAGCACGTCCTCCTCTCTGCAAGCACGACGGCACCACAACACGACTGCAGCACAGCCAGGGCCGCCCATTTTCGGCCAAACTATAAATATTGCAGCGAAATTCGTGGGCAGTGACAGCGCACGAACTGATACACTTGCTATATTCATAAAAAAAAAATTATAAAAAAAAAAATCGACGTAGTTTTTTTTTTTTTTTCATGCGCGTTTGTTAATTTGTGCACGTATATGTAGCGCACTTAGTTCTGCTATTTCCTTGCGACGTCTCTAGAATTTCCTGACGTTCTGCCGATGGCGTGCGGACGTTACGGGGTTGTCCTGAAGACATTCATAGGATATCCCAGAATGTTAGGACATCCTAAGGACATCGTAAGATCATCACAGAACTAAGTGTGCTACACATATATGGTATATTACATATCTTGACCACAGTCACTCTGGGGCATTCTTTGGGTTATCCCGTCTGACATGTCCGTGGGATGTCCGTCAGGGCCCGTTTGCTCGAAGTGCTAACCGCGGCTAAAATTAGCCGCAGTACCTACACTCTAAAAAAAAAAGGTGCCCGAAAGAACCATTTTAGGTTCTTTCACTTGTCCGATGGGCGGCACCTTTAAAGGTTCCGGAAAGAACCTACATTATCGGTTCTTCTGATGAACCCAATTTTGGGGTTCTTTATAAATCCTTTTTCGGTTCTTTAGCAGAACCCTAGGAATGGTTATTTTTGGCTCCGATAATGGTACTTCAAAAGAACTATTTATATGGGTTCTTTGTCTGAACCATAATTAGATCCTTCTTAGAACGTTTTATGGGTTCTTTCAAGAACGCCTTAGTTCTTTTTAGCCACCTTTCGTTAGGTTCTTTTTAAAACCATTTAGCGCTCTTTCAAAGAACGAAATCTTTGGTTCTTTATGGAGCGTTATTAGGATCTTTTATTGAATCTTTGATCGGGGCTGTATAGAACCGTTAAGGGTTCTTTCTAGCCACCTTACAATAGGATCTTTCTAAAACCATTTATGGCTTTCTAAAATAACCATTTATTGGTTCTTTATTGAATCTTAATTGGATCTTCTATCGAGCTCCTGATCGGTGCTTTATATATATTATTGCTTTATAGCCACCTTATTATAAATTCTTAATGGTACCATAATGGGTGTTTACCAACCAGACAATAAAGTGAACGATGCACGGCTTCTTAAAATAAAAATTTTACTGAACCTGATTTTGATATCTTAATAGAGGCTTGTTTGGTGATTAATAAAACCATCTAAGTGAATCATATGGCGAGTTATCTACTTTTACTATTCTCTACAAAGTATTTAGTGCTCCCAAAAGCGTCTGATTGACCAAAGCCAATAGTTATAAAAACAAGACACTTGTTCACTTTACATATTTTATTTAGCCTATTATTCAACGCGAACATACAAAACTACTGACATCTTTTGAGCAAAATACTGAAAACAAACAGTAATTAAACAATTAACATTTTATTGAAACAATGACCGCGTAACTGGACAAAAAGGTTTCATATCTTTTAACAGCGACAGGCATGTTTTTCCCTCCAAGAGAACAAAAAAAAAGTGAGCGATACATTTCATCGTGTGTGAGATGTCTGCTGGGTGCTTCACATCAAAGATGTAGTAAAGGGCAAACAATGTACTAACAGCTTCAATTTCTGTGGTGATGCCGGTCACGGCTTCCAGGCCATCAACGAAAACACAAAATTCATCCTCCTTGACTTGGATGATCGGTGTCAACACACTTACGTTCTGCAACAGTCAAAACAGATAACATTATCACATGCATGTCAATATTTATACTTTATACGTGAATAGATAATGTGGGTCCCCTGTAACTGAATTATATATATATATATATATATATATATATATATATATATATATATAGTAAGGTTAACAGATATGTTAAACAAAAACGTGAAAGTTACACTAATGCCACTCGAAGAGGTGAGTTATACCGCCAGGGGGGCATTATGTGGGTGGCTAATCTTTGCGATAAGTCAACTAATTATTTCAATTCGTTAATTAACTTTTTAATTGGTGAAAATGGACATATGGTTTTAATTATAAACTTGCTGAGCGTCATCGAAACCACTGAATCAGTAATTTTCAGAATGACTTCGAGCGCGTGAGAAACCTAGTAGTGCAATAAAGTTACCGGTCGAGAAGCAGGTACAAGGCTAGCGGTTGCGGAACATGGATGATTAGATTAGGGAGTCTTCGTAGATCGTTTTGGCCGTCCCGCAACGCTCTCTGTAACCCACTACGATACCCGGAACTCTACAGTCAAGGCCCTCGGAGCGCAGGCGCAGTAGCGGTTTCTTCGTTGAGAAGGGCTTAGCGGAGGGGGAAACGCGGTCTACGAAAACTTCCTATTATCATCGCGTTCTGCAACCGCTAGCCTTGCACCTGCTTCACGAGTGGTAACTTTAGTGCACTACAACGCTTCTCACGCGCTCAAAGTCTTTCTGATAATTACTGATTCAGTGGTTTTTGATGACGCTGAGCAAGTTTCTAATTGGAACCATATGTCGATTTTCATTAATTAAAAAGTTAATTGACGAATTTTAATTAATTATTTGACTGATCGATTAGCCCGCTTCAGTATGTCCCCCTCGCCATATAACTCACCTGCACAAACAGCATAACTGTTACTTTCACGACTTTTCTTTTAAACAAATCTCGTCAACTTAAAAAAGAAAAAAAGAACTACATTGCATGCACCAAGTATATAACTCTACTGTTCGGTCAAGATATGTGTTGTTTATATTCTCTATATCTTCAAAATTATAGGATAAGTTGATTACGTTTAAATACGGTCAAGAAAATGTATTAAAAAATAATTAAGCATACATATATAAAAATATATTAGAGACCACTTTACTTACGTTGTTGGACGTGAAGAGCAGGTGTCTCTTTCATGGAACACCAATGGCAGGCTCAGGAGGCCGACCCTTCAAGGATTGTCTGCAAACACATAACCTGAAGATATAGTTTATACATTTCGACATTTGAAATGACTCAATCTGGATGAGCATAGTACAAGGCGTGCAGTCATTTAATTCCTACTGGTTGATAAATCGTACTGCACCGGCTATATTTCTCATCTATAGCGGAGACATGACTTGCAAAAGCAGATGGGAAGACCAATATCCGCTGTATAGACAACCACAACACCACAATACACTTGCCTTCTTTTGCATCTCACCACTACTCTACAGCTTATCTGATGGCACAAGTTTCCAATAATACCAATTCTAAACCAACATATGATCGCAATTAGCCACGCCACACTTTTTTTGAGGCCGCGCTCTAACATCGGGCAATTTTAATGTAGAGTTGTTACATTTTTTTAATGCAGCTTGTAAAAATTTACAAAGCTGTCGTTTTGCACGCATGTTTATAATATCGGTGGGTAAGTTCAACAAAATCCAATGGTCATAGCAAAATTATCTAAGTGGAAAATTAAAACCTTAAAGATGGCTCCTTACTCGCAAGAATTCTCTTTTATAAATTTACTGTTCGTTCTTCATGCGGTCAAGGTTACCGGCTGATACTGCAGCGAGCGCTTTTTTGCCATTTTATTTTTATATTTTATAATTTTTTAACTAAGTAATTAATTTTTATGAATCTATAGTGAGTAATCTCAGTAAGAGTTGTATACAGCAAATTGTAAGGAGGACATTTTAATCGCGTTTTTTTTTATTACTAGCAAGATGTAATTCATTAATTACCAAATTTTTTGCTAAAATGATTGGCTGCGACTATTGAACTTAGTGTAAATTTACTGGCGAAAAATAAAATATTATTCTTGAGTTACTGCTGACTCTTTTTTTCTAAATTTGCAATAAAGAAAAAAATAAAGGCGAAATCGTTTTAGACATCCGTCACAAAAGTCTTATGCGTTGTATACGGACTTTCCCTCCAAGCAGGCTCGATATCCGGCGTATCCGCATATCAAACATTCGGCGTGACCCCTAACGCTGTCAGGTCGCGGGACAATTGTTACCAAGTTATCCTTGCCGATAAGATTTTCTACGTTAAAATTAAGCGCAAAAACTTCGCATTGAAGATGGCTGCGTTATTAATGATTCGTATTTAACATTTTATTTTAAGCAACTGAGAAAATGGCCACGAGCAGTCGCCTTCCAAGCACTGCAGGTGTCTAATATTTGTGGCAATATGCGACACAACGCGATAGTGATAGCAAATTAGAGTGAACAAAAATAAAACCGGCAATAATGTCTCGCCGCGAAATAAAAAAAAAAATGTGTGCGTGTTTTTTTTTATGATTATGAAGTACGGATTAACGTTTTTCGCCTCATATTGTCACAGCCACAGGCTAGTGAATTCTCTGAGACCTTTTATTGGGATTTTTCTTTTATGGTGAGAATAAAAATTTAAATAGAAAAGTAAAAAAAAAGAAAAAAAATGTAATTTTAAATTTGGAGTCGCCAGATTTCATAGCATTGAGAATATGAGGGCGAAGAAAACTCTTGCGAGTGGTAAGCAATTCTTAAAAAGCTTGTATTTACTGCTCGTATATTTTGACATGACGATCCGGTCTCGTCATCTTACCCACCAATATTACAAACAAGCTTGCAAATTGACTTCTCGCTGAATATCTTAATTAACTTGAAAATAAACGTGAAAAAAGCTTCCGAGATGGCCGCTGTGATCCAGTGCTGCGGTTTCTTTACCATGTCTCAATGTTTTAGTAGTAGAACCAATACAAAAAGAGTCGCAGCTTCTGGCTTCAACGATCCACCTCTTTAGAAATCATGGTTCCAGAGTTTCTGATATAAAAACAGATGTTCGCGCTCCTTGGATTCACGAGCGACCATGGCATGCTTTCAAGCGAGAGTTAGGGAGAGCGCTCGTGGTGTGCGCGCGCGTTCTCTGCCCAAAAATCTCGAACCGGTGAGTTCCTAAAAAAGGTGGCGCGAGCAGCCAAAGCACCGCGAAGGGCAACGAGCAAGTGCTGGAGTCCAGGCGTCCTAAAGCAACGCCTTACGCTTCATGCACTCTCTATGACGCGCCATCTCCTGCTCTCACCGATTAACAAAAATGTAAGTTTCAGTGACCGGTACCATAATACTGATAATATTACTTAGAATGTACTTTCAATACGCACATATACAGGAAAAATATTTACCTTGAAAGGCAGAACACGCAGATCCCAATCGGCTTTCTGGTCGACCATGCGCAGACATCATCCGTCGTCCACTTGTCCATGTCCAGAGTCATTTTCCGAGTGAACGAAATGGCGCGCTGCGTATCTTCGCTGGCTTAGCGCCGCGTAGTGGTGAGGACCCCATAGCGGCCCATGCATGCCACAAAATGTCACGGAAAAAGAAGAAAAAAAAAAAAAAAGAAGAGGAACACGTACAGCAACCAAACAGGAACCAACGCAAACGAGAAACCCATCTGGAGCTAACACAAAGCAGGCAGACCGGGAGGAACCAAAAACCCGACAAGCCCCCCACCCGACGCCGACGTTTCTTTTCTGCGTCCCGAAGTGCGACAAACGTAGCGCCTTTGAAGTAAGGTCGCCCACCCTTTAATTTCTCCTCAAGGTTACTTCCCTTATTACCCCTCCCCCTCTTTGACTTCGGCATGTGCCGCACTGGCTCAAAAACATGTTTCTCTTTCCCTTCATCTCTATCCTCTCTCCACCCCACCCTCCCTTCCTTCCCTATCATCCTCTCAACCCTTCCAACTCTGTGCGGTGACTGTCGGCCTGGTGACGGATGTCAAAATAAATGTACGCTGCCAGGAACTCTAGGAGAGCCCAGAGCCATACGGGTCAGCGCCACCTCCAGGTCGATCTCGACAACTTTTTTTGGCATTTCCGGGGATAGCAGAAGGACCCGCGCTCAAAACGGTAGAGGGAACGCGTGCCTGCACCTTTCACTGCATTGCCCCCGCGCTCCCGTGCCGAAATGACCTTGCTTGAAAGCACGCTTTCTCTCTCGCCTATTCCCACAAAGCACCCTCTCAAGTCGTCCCGAAGCCACATTTCTTTCTTTTTTCGAAAAGCGTTCTTTTGAAGGCAGAATCTCGAAGGGACACGCCTCCTTTTGCGCAAAGAACCCTTTTCAGTCGATTTGGCACGCTTATTTTTGAGAGTGTAGGAGAGGGATTTTGAAATCACTTGACGGGGGGGGGGGGGGGGGGGGGGGGGGGGGGGCTCGGTAGGATGTGGGGAAACATGGCGGTGCCCCGGTGAGTGAGCCCCGCTCGCTTTGGAACTAATATGTCGTTGTAGCTGCAATATCGGGAGTGTTAGCCACCAATGAATGGTGCAGGAGGCTGTCGCTTTGCCTTACCTCACTTAAATCGGAAAGCATGAGCAATGACCTCACCGCATTTTTTAGATAGTCTTTCGATTCTGGCCATTCCTAAGCCTAAATGAACGTGATAATTGTCGGCATGGCAACGTCTTTGGAAAGTGGATTGCCTTGACTCAATCGGCCGGGTATTGATAGCACACAGAAGCAGACAGCGTCCCAATAGACTTTTTGCTAAATTACCCAAGCATCGAGGAAAACGCTGGAACTGTAATTCTACGGTCTGCGCGCGCTGGCCTTCCTCTTATAAAAGATTCGACGTAAATAATCGTAATAAGGCTTTGACGAACGCGCGTGGAAGGCCAAATTTGTTTTAGACTTTTTGCTTTAGAACAATTACTACTGCAAACGCCGGCATATGCAACGCGTGTGGCTACACTCGTAGCATGCACCTCGGTGCTTGGGAAATTTAGAAACTACTTTTGTGTGCTATCAATACCCGGCCGATTGAGTCAAGGCAATCCACTTTCGAAAGACGTTGCCTTGCCGACAATTATCGCGTTCATTTAGGCTTAGTAATACCCAGAATCGAAAGACTATCTAAAAAATACGGCGCGGTCATTGTTCATGCTTTGCGATTTAAGTGAGGTTAGGTAAAGCGAAAGCCTCCTGCACCACTCGTTGCTGACTAACGCCCGATATTGCAGCTACAACGACATATTACTTTTAAAGCGAGCGGCGCTCACTCGCCGGGGCACCGCCCCCCATGCTTCCCCGTATCTCTACGTATCCCTACCGAGCCCCCCGCCCCTGTCACATGATTTCAAAATTCCTCTCCTTGGTACTGCGGCTAACTTTAGCCGCGGTTAGCGCTTTGAGCAAACGGGCCCAGGTGTCGACTTCGAGACGTGGGACGTCAGTACATTTTTGGGGTGTCCCCGGGACGTTTGGTGTTGTCTGGGCATTGGGCGCCATATATGAGTGCGTTGCTGACTGCGCATCTTCGGGGGAAAGGGTGAGGGGGGGGAGTGATACCGTTGGCCTGGCAGAGGTCCTCGCATCAGATCAAGCTCCTACCTAATGTCTGCAAAGAACGGTGATCTTAGTGGTGTGGAATGCACGCTGCAGAAGCATTGTGTAAGTTAACATTAGCGAGTTTTAGTAGACCGTGTTTCCCGCTCCGCTAAGCCCCTCCGCTACCCGGAACTCTACAGCCAAGGCCATCGGCGCGCAGGTGCAGTGGCGGTTTCTTTATTGCGGAGGGCTAGCGGAGGGGGAAACACAGTCTACTAAAACTCCCTATTTACAAGGTAGTAGACTCGTTAGCGTTCTCCGCCAAGTCAGATTCAGGACTAAGTGACTCCACGAGAGAGCCATACTGTCGCGAACTGGCGCTGCTTCTTAGAGGCCGATGACGGGGCGGCATTGCAGCATGAGCTTCACAGTCTGCCAGCAGGCGCAATCTTGAAATCTGTTCCTTCGTTTTAAAATTAGTTTTCTTGACTTTTCTGCCGGCAGCCTAGAACCAATAGTGTAGAAGAGTGTTTCTAGGCTATCGCCAAAGATAGTCCATATCTAAACTTAGAAAGAAGAGCAAACATTTTGTTTTCGTACCCCTTTAAGCGGCCGTAATTTTGAAATAGGCACATTCAACGGAACGCATGATATCTGAACCTGCTAGCGTGAGTATACGTTTCTCGGTATACTCCACTCACCCCTACTTCTTATGCCGCCCGCCAAGCTATTCCTTGAATTGGATTCCACGCTTCGTACGAAGCACAGATGTGCCGGCGGCTCACTTTTGCTTCTCGACGCAACGCAGTCAAACACTCAAACGCCCTCAAACACAACAGTGCGTGGGGGCCTTAAGCTGACAGTGCGGTGGTAGCTATGGGTCTGTTGGACCAGCCATACGCCTATCTTTTACCATGTGATCGCGCTCTCCCTCTCACAGCTACTTGGAAAAAAAAAAAAAGGCTCACAACTGATAAAAGGGAGGCGGTTGATTGGTCCGTTGAACGCGTAGCTTTTACCGCGCTGTCAGCTTAGGGATGAAATGAGTATAGCGTATTCCATCCCGTTTGTGTTTAGAATAAATGCAATAATCACTACTTAGAAATTTCAAGTTTGTTCTACCGTATCAAACTGTTTACGTTTATCGATCTGTCATTTTTATTTCGAGTGGATGGGTCCGAGCTGTTCCCTGTAGCTGGAAAGGCAAGTTGGCGAGGTCTCTTTAACATTGGCCCTCCCTTAGTTAAAGAGACCTTTATACGAACTGTATGTGGTATCGATCTCCAGCTCCCTTTACCAAAGGGACCTTAGCTAAAGGCACCTTTACGCTGCCGTGGGAATGGGGCATTAATCTTGTTTTTCCATGTTGTGTTCACCGTGTCGGCGGCACCAGGGACACTAGCTCTCAAGCCGCCCCGGGACTGAATGACGCAGTCACTCAGTGCCGGGGCGCAGCGTCGCCTAGATCGTGCTCGTTGACGGCTGCCGAATTGAGCGCGCCGATTAACCTCCTGTGGCCCACTCAGTCGCCAGGAAAAGCCCCCGCGAGACGTCCGGTGGAATGCCCCCCCCCCTTCCCCCCCCTCCCCCCTCACGCGTGACTCATACCGCCACCGGGAGCGTTGAACCAGCCTCTCCCTCCCCTTCCCCGTTCCTCCCAGTCGCCGCTACCACCCATCGCCATGATCATTATTTCTCACTGCATGTTTAGCATATAGATGCGTCGTCGCGAAAAAAAGAGGTAAACGATTGCAATCGTAAGTACTCGTAGTCACAAAAGTAGTCATTCGATATCTTTATTGCTAATTAAGCATAAAAACATTATCGAATCTGGCAACATACTTTATTACTCGTTATACAGGGTGTTTTTATATTTTGTTTATCGAAAACAGGTTTTTCTACAAAAAGTCGTGGAAGCTATACAAATGCGGTCTGCTTAAGTGAGCTATACGGCCAGGCGGACATTGCGTCTAAGAAATAAAGAACTGAAAGATAACTAATTAACGAAAATGCACTAATTACTTTTAATTACACTTTTTAGGGTACATGTCTATATTGATGAAATGGAGCCATGCAATGTTGAAGGTCCGCTCAGTTTTTTTTCTAAAAATCCTGGATTGAGCACGCAGTTCGTGTTATTCATCGCCAAATTTTCTTCTGGAAATCTGCTGAAACCGAATCCAAACGCGCGATGCCCGCCGAAAGGACAAAACTCGTTTGACGACGGAGGGTCACCTCTTAATGACGAAATTTCCATCGCTCTATTGCGTCGCAGAGCATCGAAGCTGATTGCACTCGGTGATCCATTAGCGAACTAAGGCAATAAGCCACCTTATCGGCCACGACAAGTTGCTTTGCTTTGCTGCGGGATACCAGGGAAAAACGTTGGAACTTTTCATCATGGGTGGGAGTCAGTGATATCGCGCAGCAAAGCATAGCCACTTGTCGCGGCCGCTATGGTAGCTTCTCGCTTAGCTCGCTAGCCACGGAACACAAAGTGCAATCAGCTCAGGTGCGCTGTGATGCAAAATAGTAGGATCGTTCGATTTGCCTGCGTCCACTGCACGGGTGCATAAAAGTGAGGGGTAGTGTACTTCCGTTGTATGTAATGAGATACGACCGGAAGGAGACCACCCTACACAGGCCTACACCGGTGCAGGGAGTGCAAGTAAATCGAACGCTCCTCCTGGCGCAAAAAGAGTGCCTTTATTTCTTCAATAAAATATGCGCACTAAAACTGCGAACTGAAAGAAGTGATTAGTGAATTTTTGTTAATTAGTCATTTTTTAGTAGCATCCTCTATTGTAGATAACGTCCGCCTGGCTGTAGAACTCACTTGCACAGACCGCATTTGTGTAGCCTTCACGGCATTTTTTTTTTTTTTAGAAAAAGACTGTAGTTTAAAAATAAAAACGAAAAGAAAAAGAACCTGTATTATTTAATGTGTGCACTGAAAGCAATAAACCGAAAACGATCGGAATGATTAAACTTGAGGAAGAAACGAGAAGGACGGACAACCCCACACCAAATGAAGAAATGCGCAGATACAGCTCTGTGCGTTTCAATTTATTCGCTGCGCGTTTCTTCCTTCGCTGTGCGTTTCTTCAATCGGGGTCTCGTCCTTTGCACTGCTTTCATTCTCATGAA